TTTCTTTCTTTCTTTCTTTCTTTCTTTCTTTCTCTCTCTCTCTCTCTCTCTCTCTTTCTCCAAGAGTCAGCCCACGCTCTATTTTCTCACAGGTTCTACTCACATTCTTACTCCCACCAAATTTCTCATGGATCTGAGACACCCCGACTTCAGAGATTCCACTAGGGTATCTTTTGACGAACAGGCTCCAACTATGGGATGAGAGCCAAAGAAACCTTAAAAAGTAAAAGCAATTTTTATTGAGAAGAAACTCTTTCTTTTTTGGAAGGGCTTCTTTTGATAATTCTGTCATCCCTTTCTCTCTCTCTCTTCTTGCTTCTCCATTGATTTATTTTTATTCCCCCCACCCCCTTTTCTGATTTCTTTTTCTTTGTATGAGAAAATGTTTTGCTTCAAAACTACAGTTGTGGAAATGGACTTGATGCTGCTTCCATTCAAATCTGGACCATGATTTTCTTGTAACCAGAACGTGCCAAATGGTCATACCATCAGCTGTCCTTTTCTAAAAAATTAATGAGCCCACATTTATTGCTCCTTTATTTAAACAAGGACTGAAATAAAATGATGGAGGAGAATGGGGTTGGCCATCCAGAACACCAGATCACCCAATTACACGGATGCAAGCATGGCTGAATTTTTGCTTTTTTTTTTCTTTTCTGATGGTGGAAATGCCTGCCTGCCTCTTGTCTCTTCTGTCACGATGAAAGAGGTAGAATGCTCTGCTGTTCAGAAGGCGAAGACCCCCTCCCTTGCATTTTGCTCAGTGCTTAAACATTAGCAATATTGATCATTCCTTTCAGATCAGTTTTTTGTTTCTAAAGCTAGTTTGCATATTTGCATACACGGTTACTGACTAGAAAGCCAAGTTTTCAAGCAACATCTGGACAACCCTGTGAGCGTTTGTCCCATCGTTAATTCATATCTATTGTTTCGTGTCTTCCTTTTTCTCTCTTTGATCTGCTATAACTTGAGCAGAATCAGGGGCTAGAGGGGACTGGATCACTCCAATCTCTAGGTGGGGGAAATTCCATTTTTGAACGTGCTCCTCTGTTTTTCACCACCACCCTACAAGTGGAACCCTCTTGGTCTTGCGTGGGCTAGTCTGACATCAGGCCCCACCTGCAAACTGAAGTGGTACAGTCCATCTTGCCATTCATTCAGATCTGGTCCCCTTGTGTCCCACCCAACACACAAAATCTGACAAAAGGAAATAGTTGAGAAGAAACGATTCAGTCAATGGGTGAATACTGGCCCTTGCTCCTTTAGACAGAGAAGATATTTATGATGAGCAGTGTAGATGATTAAGAGTTGTGATAGCTACATGGAAACCATATGATCCAGAGCAGTGCATATCTATTCTCGCTAGATGTTCTCCATGTTTCGGTAAAGAAATATGGCCAACTTTGCTGTTCAATATTCTTTTTCTTTTTTCTTTTTAAGTGGTGATTGTGATCTTGTGGGCATCTACTTAGGAATGTCCTATGGAATTAAATGGGGCTTACTTGTAGGTGAGTGAGTGTAGGATTGCCGTCCGTTGCACTCAAAGTATTGCACAGAATCCATTTGCCTCGCTTCAGAGATTCGGTGCTTGAGCGATGGCTTTCTGAACTCCAGTCTGGGTTGACTGAATGTTACATCCAGCAAGCATCTTTTGAATTAACCCTGGGGAATGGAAGTAGTGCCTCCTGTTTTGCCTTCAGTGATCCTTTCCTAACCAGCAAAGGGTATCACAAGAAGAGATTTCTCTTCTTCCTCCCAGTCTCAAATAATTGTGGATTTTTCTCTCTTCTCTCATCAACCGATGCAGGTTTTGGGTCAATATACTGAAAAGGCAAAATTATTCTCTCTCATTCTTCCCCGCCTTCTCCATAACTTAAAGCGATGTATATTTGCATGTACGGATAATGCTCCCGCCTCCTTTAATTTGGCTCTTTTAGATTAGAAGATGTGCAGGCCTTACGATCCCACACGGTCACATCTGCTGCCTCTCTCGGCACATGGTGCCACTGTCCTTGAACTTCATGGCAAATGGTGCATGCCTGCCTCATTTCTTCATTGCATTTAGATTGCTGTGTGATTATTAAATATATATATTTAACAAATAAATGTATATATTTATTGATTTCCTTTTGGGGGGCTTGGTTTTAATTTCAGTTTCCTTTCTCGTTATTTTTCCTCCTGCACTAGATGTAGTTCCGTAGGCTTATATTTTGCAAACGTTTCTCTTAATATACATGAGTATCTATATTGAAATGTGTCCGGTCAGGGAAGGGAACAAACATCAGGGATGGAGTTCCATCTCTTCCCCCTTTAAATCACAGCAAATCTTAACGTATTTGCTGAAGGATGGGCCCTTTGAGATTCCCCTCCCCTATAAAATCTTCCTGTACTCCTTCCCCCGCTTCTCTGCCTTCAGAGTAGATACTTTTGTGGGGTTGGTGACCCTTTCTGTCCCACGTTTCCACGGGCCCCTTTGAAGCTTAGCTAAAACCAGAGCTTTTCAACCTTTTTGGGGGCTGGGCTGGTGGGTTCTAGCCTAGCTTCCTTTAATATGCACTTCCTGGAATGCAAAGTGGTAGAAATTGTGCCTTTCCCCTTCTTTAGCGCTCTAGCAAGAGTACTTTCTTTGTCTGGAGGGTGAGAATCTTGCCCAATGAAGCACTGAGCTTCAGCGACCCATCACGATTATTTTCTCTGCATACCTAGAGGGTCTTTGCAGGGCCCAGAAGCATTTGTAGAAATAGATGATACAGGAGGCTGGTGCTTTGCATCCTGGCAATGTTCACCGTCATGTATATCTCTCCCTCTGTGGGAGCAGGGAGTCTTCTGGATGCAAAGACAGATGTTTTATTTCTGGGTACATTGCTACCTATGGGCAGTTTTACTGACCTCTTGCCTTAAACTTTTCCAAGCTCAGCTGTTCAAGCCTGAGCTGATCCTTGGGGTAAGGCACTTACACGTATCCATCGTGGGTCCCTTAAACACACGTCTTGGAGAGCAAGGATAGCCCGTGGGCAGTCATCCAGATGTTGACGAAGTACTAGTCCCAGCCATCCAGCTAGCCTGGCAAGGGATCATGGGAGTGGTAGTCCAGGGAGATCTGGAAAGTCTCAGATAGCCGACCCCTGATTTAGACTCTGCTGATGTCCTGATCCGCCTGTCTGAAATCTAACTGTAACCTTGTCTTCTTTTCCTTTCCTACTCCCACCTGCCCTCCACAGGTTCCACACACGTTCTCACCCCACAGAAATTGCTGGACACACTGAAGAAACTGACCAAAACGGATGAAGAAAGCAGCAGTTAAACACACCTCCTCTCTCTTTCTTTCCTCCTCTCTCTCGTGGATCTGCTCCCAAACCAGTAACACCAACCAAATCGTTGCAAATCTGGGGTCACGGCCGTTTCCCTTTGACTTCTTGGCATCCTTTTCAGTCTGCCACCTCTTCTGAGTTTTAATGCAAGACCCCCTCCAAACTTTCCCATTTCCTTCCCCTTCATTTCTTTGCCCCCTCATTTGAAGCAAAGCTAAATAGGAAAAAAAAATATGCATTGTGTCTAAAGGAGTGGGGGTGGGGGGAAGAAAAGAGTAATATATTCTATAATATAGATATTATCTCTGTATGTATCCAAGAAAATAAAATGCCAGATTCAACTGCCCATTTCTGAAGATCCCATCGCTTCATCATTGGCGATAAACAATGGTGATTATATTTTCAATACTGTATTCTTTTTTTTAAATTTCATTTTTCCCTGCTTGGATGGATGAATGCTTGTGACTTATTTATGGCTCTGTGATCCTGTACCTAACCCCGGATGCAAACTGTGAATATTGTCTCCTAGGCGTTGCAATTTGCTTGCATTTTGGGAATACTGTAATAACTTCCCTCCTTTTGACCTTCCTTTTCCCTACTCACATTGCTGTCGTTGGGGTTGTCGTCTTGATTATGTATTATTACACTCGGTTTGGTTTTGGTTTATTGATATGCAGCCAGGCTGGCTTTTGAGAGATATATGATATATATTTTTCTGGATGTTACTTGGTTGTTATCCTTCCTCTTCTCTTTTGGGGGATATTTCATATTGAGTCATGTCTGCAACTGAAGCATGGCTTAACTTGCTTTCTCAAAGCCTGTCCAACAATGAGGCGTTGTTTTTCCCTGTCTCAGCACTCTGAGGTCTGCTGATGGCTTTAAATTTCGCTGAGGCATGTTGGCAAGTAAATATTCTTGGAGCCTCGTTGTAGTATTTTGGTGCAAAGAAATAAAAAAAAATAGAGGCACATAATTTTGCTTCTGGAAACCATCTGTCCTTAATCTATGAGATTTGTAGCCTATTCTTCCTCTGGGGGCTGAGGATATTTTCCCCCTTTGCCTTTTAGTTAATTCTACAAAAGTCTTGCAAGGAAGGATAAGGTGAGAGAGAGAGAGAGAGAGAAAGTCTATGCCCTGAGTCATGCAATTAACCCACTGGACTTAATTTTAAGCCAAGGAAATGCGTAGGTTCCCAATGGGGCTCACATCTGCTATATGTATTTTGGGGTTCTCGAAACCTTGCTCCCTCCCAGCTTTTGTTCTCCATTTTCCTTGTGGGAGTTTAAAGAAGGAATCTCCATCCATCCACTAGACTGTGCTGTGTTTTCTGGTTTCATAGTTGGCCAAAGAAGAGTCTTCAGGGTGGACCTTCTGCCTTTTAGAAGACATGGGGGGCCTGTACTGCTCAGCTATAGTTGTCCCCATATTTCAGCAAGGGAGTGGTAGTCCAAGGAGAACTATCTATCCATCTTCTCTCTATTTTCTAAAATCTGATTTTGAACTGTAGGGATCCACCCAGCTTTGACAAGCTGAAATCAGTGGAGCAAATTAAACCTGTTGATGCCCTTGAAGGATGTTTGCATGGGTCAGGCCGTGAAGATGTCTCCAGAATTTAGGGTTGATCTTTGCTTGGTCTGCCTTGCAGATGAATTGATTCAAAAATGGTCTTTTGTGGTCAGGGACAGTCCAATCAGTGAACTGGGTGGTTTTCCTCCTGTTCGTGGTGCCCAGTGTGAAAGCATGAATTTGTTTGGCATTTGTAGGGCCTGGTGATTGAATGTGCCCCTCTTCTGGGATTTGCGTGATAGCCTGAAACTAAGGAAGTGGCCTGAGTTTGCACGAAATGCTCAGCCACCCAAAATTGAGAACCAAAGTTTGGCTCTAACCAAGCTTCCCCTATTGTGGAAATGCATACCTGCTAGGTCTCTGTCTGACCAATTTACTTGTGTTATCTTAATGCACCTATGATGGAGGACTGTTGGCTTTAAGTGACTGGGACTAGTATGTGTTGAGATACAAATCCAGAATGATGTAGGGATGGGAGCACGGGAGGAGGGTTCTCAGGACTGCCCCAAATAAGGAAAAAAGAAAACAGTGGAAATTTCAGTGGAAAGCATTCCTCCTTGACCCTTAAAAATGAAGTGTAGCTAGACTTCTCAGGGGCCTTTGATCTTATTCAAAGCAAACTTCTCTAAAAATTGAAAGCCATTTTTTATGGGCAAATTCAACCTGACTCCTTCCCAAAATCTTTCATTTGGACACGGCCGATGCAGAATTTCACCCCAATGCTTTCAAGCGAGGTATCCGTTTATTCTCTTCCAATGTTTGCTTGGGCCACAGCTCCCAGAATCTTTCGCTCTCGGCCATCCTGGCCGAGGCTCCTGGGATGTGTAGTTCAGCAACGTCTGGAGGGCCACGCGTTCCAAAAATGGGCTGATTTGTGTTACTTTCTTTATTGCTAACACCGAAAATTCTCTTCTCTTCTCTCTCTCTCCCCCCCACCCAACACCTTCCACCATTGTCAACTAGTAATGAAACATTGCTGGCAGTGGTTAGCACCAAAATTAACCTCACTTACCCTTTTACAGATTTGATTTCCATTTCCCCTTCTCTTGTTACAGGCTACGTGTATGAATTAAATGTGTCTTGTGATGTTAATGCAAGCTTGGAGTAAAGTGGTTTACAGAGTCCTTTCTGTATTTCTCTTCATTGACCTTCCTTTAATGGCTGCATTAGCTTACTGTGGCATTGGGGGGAGGGAGTGAAGGTTAATATTTTCCTCCCCTTTTATCCTTTTGAGTTACCCCTCCCTCTCCCCACCTATTGCAGGACGTTGACTTCTCTTCCTAGAAAATACCAGCAGAGGGAAGAAGGGGGGAAACCCCCCCGTTATTATTTATAGCTTTCTGTCTACTTCTCCCTTGCACTTAATATTACACGTTCCTAGGGCAAATGTCAATTTTGCACTATGTCAATTTGCACTGATAATTTGTTGAGCATCTCCCCTTCTCAGTCTCTCCTTGCAGAAATCTCTTTGATTTAGCATTGTGACTCTTCAGGGTGACTTTCTGGTTGTTTTAGGGGTTTTTGTTTTGTTTTTTAAATTGCTATTTATATTCAAACGACTTATTATTGAAAGGAAAAGGGGGAAAAACACCACACTCACGCCCAAAAGGGTAACTAAATTCTGTCTTTAGAAGCTGTTTTATTTCTTGACATGTCAATGTTGAAGCACAAAATGTGTTATTTCTGTATCGCTGTTCTGTATTTTAAAAGCACTCAAGAGTTAATAAAATTTGCTGTCCTGTCCAATGACGTTAAGAGAGGATTGAGTGGCTGGTTGTGAGAACAAGTCTCTGATGAAGGATAAGAAAATGCTGGACTACTTCAGTGTTTTTCTGCTGTATCAGATGTCTGAACGCTTACCAAAAATTTGGTAATTTGGGATGAATTTGTCAATTCCGTTTGGCTCGGTTTCTTCTCTTTTTTCCCATTTCAAGAACATTTGTCAGTTTCATGCTGTTTCTCTTTTTCCCATTTCAAATCCATTCTTTACCTTGATATTTTTTCCCCCCAGGACTTGCATGAAACTGAATAGCCATAACCATTTCCCTTGATTCTGCAGTTTGCATGCAATTGTCCTAACTCATCTGTTTTTACGAGTGTCCTTCTCAAATGTCCTCTCTTTCATATGTTCTTCACTAATGTGCTCATGTTTTGCATTTGGGCTTTTTTTCCCAGCATGTTTCCTGGGAAAACCGTTTGCTATATCTTAGAGAATGGCAAATGTTGAAGGACAAAGTCTGGGTTTCTGTATCAGCTGCTGGAAAGATTTTTCCTTGCTTCAGAAATGGTAAGTAAAGCTGGAATGGGTGTTTTTTCTGTCACTCATACATCACATGAGGAATACTTTGGGCACATGGTGTTCACGTTTGGTGGTGGCGCACATCGCTCAGAATCTGAACGGTCAGATGTGTGAATCAAGCATTCAAATCCCTTTAGACTTGCAAAGTGATCAGTCCCGTTCTGGAAAACGGATTGCGTAGGTGAACAATCCCTCTTGGAGGCATCCTGTTTGAGTCTGATTTGGCTGAATTGAAACTCTGGGCCAAATATCTGTATGCCCATCAGGTCTGATTTTCCTGCATGCAGATGCTGCTGGAAACCGCAGGAAAGGCACCTCCATGAGGTATGTAGAAGGTTGTCATGGCTTGTCACTCCAGAAGGCTCCTCCGAGATAGAAAACCCAAGCTAGGACAACCTTCAAAGCCCAACACTGTTTAGGGCCTTGGCTCGGGAAGCCTGTTAAATGGGCTTTCCGCGAGAGAGGTTTTAAACTGAGAAAGCTGTGTATTTGAACAATGGTTGAAAAGCAGGGCAAGGAACACAGACATCTGTTGGGGGTTTTTAGACAGCTTTGAAGATGCTTCATAGCTTTGGATTTCATCGGCTGTTTCTTTAGTTTGTGTAGTTTCCCCTCACCCCTTTTCCCCGCCCCTTCATACAGATTTTTTTTTGGGGGGGGGACTTCTGAAAGTCTTAGGCTTATCCTGCTGCTACTAAAGAATTCCTCCAAATCTACCGGCGGTCTGTCAGTGCCATTCTGAAGGCACCAGTATTCAGAGCCATCTGCTTTCTTGGTGTGCCCCTAAAACAATTTGCTGATCACTGTCAGGAAGAAGAAAAAAGCTGATCCAAGTACATCATGGCATTTATTAACAGAAAAACACAACTGCCCCAATCGTTCATTTAACAGCTAAACAAAAACACAGCTACCGTTTAAGAAAATGAGAACGCTACAACGCTGGCCTTTTCCCCATTCCAATCGCAAAGGATCCAAATGACAATTAGGGAAGGTCCATGGATGCCAATGAGAGCTTTCTGATGCCCCATTCTTAGAACTGGAGAGCTTTCGTGGGCTCTGAGTGGAATTTTTCACCCGCATGACCTTCAGCGGGTGAGAATGGGAATGAATGCCCCTGTTTTCAACAGGAGAGAACAACTCATAAGGGGAATATGTTTTCCTCTTGCATTACAAATGCTTCCATGCAAATCGGAACCTTCCATGGTTTACTGAGGCAGCATTCAAACTCACAGTTCCCCTGTCTGCTTTCTAAATTAACACATTCTGCTCTCTGTCTTCTAAATTAACATACATAACCTACCTAGGATGCTAAGTTCAAAAGTAGGCAGAAAAAATCTTGGAAAACCCTGGTCAGAACCATTCTTGCCAGGCTAACTTCCTACGCGCTCCAGAGCTTAAATGTTACTTTCTAAAATGAGGGGAAACTCATTAACTCTGCCTGCAACGCCTGACCCAATTTTTGTGGCTCCCATGGCTGCAGTACCAGGGACTAAGCACTGGGTTTAAAATGCTGGGTTCAAAAATAGATGCAGGGTTGGCTGGAGGGCAACACGTAGGAAGACACAGTGTGGCAACTCTGATCCTCTTATTAGAATCTTATTACCGTGTGACTGCTTGGGAATCCAGTTGGTATGTTACTGCTGGAGGCTATGACCTAAATTAGGAGGGGACAGATTTTTGGCTGGAGACAACCTACTTTACAGATGGACCCCATGCCAAATAATAAGGAACAGGGTGACTCCAAGCAATCACCCATTTTGAGCACTGGCAACCGGTAACGGTTCCAAATAATATTCCTATCAAGCCACCGCTGATTTTCCTCCCAGCATTGTTCTTTAGCAGTCCGTTTTTCCATCTTAGCTAGCCAACGGCTGCACTCACATAGTATGGTAAACCACTAAAACCCCTCCATAAACAAGGTTAACCCTGATTCAAATCAACATGCTCTACAAATGTTGCTTCTCCTCTTAACCAATGTTCTTCTGTAACCTGGAGAAAGAACGCCACTTTCAGGGCTTGGAAATTAATCTGGAGGGCACAGTCAGAGGGAACCCATGTTTGAGCAAAGACACAAAACAGCTGGGCCCAGATGGTAGTTTCCATATTGATTTCCTCATAAATTAATTGTGCCTGAGATCCAAAGAATAGGTTCCCAGTTGGGACTATAGGACGCGGCCTACTGCTTCCCACCAGACCCTCCTGTAGTACAGTCCCCATACGGCAGAGTCAACCTAGCCGTGGGAGCTGTAGTCCAAAACAGGCAGAGGACTCCGTATCAGAGCAGAAATATAAAAACAAAGCAAGAGTACTCTTTGTATTGGGGAAACATTCCTTAAATGATTAAAGATCAGTTTTAAACATGGTCAGTCAGGGCTCTCAGTCGGAGCAACAAGTTTTTAACAGGCATATATACATTCCGATTGCAAGTACCATCTTTACACAGCCATTTCGTCTTTCTCTCAGAACAGGCACAGACACAAACGAAGGAATGGCTTATCCCAAATGCACACAGGTCTTAGCAAATTCAGCTTTGCTTTCCAATCCCTTTGAGGTGCGTTCACACATTGAACCACACCTTTGTCCGCATTGAATCAACGATTCAGCTCGCATTTTGAGCGATTCACCCACAACATACATTATCACACATGTATTCTAAAAGTAAAGTGAATTGTGCTGCGTTAAGCTTTCCGCTCTTTGGGTACCTAGAGGAAGTTCTAATAGGGAACCTTCGGTGTATTGATGTCATGTCGGGTGCCGCTAAATAGACAGCAGCAGGTATCGATTCACAGCATGGAGAAGATGGCTTTCGCTGCATGAAGGAAGGTCACCTGCTTGGGAGAGAAGGCAGATGACTTCTACAGCAAGAATAGCAACAGTGCCTTGGTATCTGTGAGATGAACCATCACGTCCACTGGATTTCTTAGAAAAGTGATAAATTAGCTTGCTTAAGTACACCCATTTCTTGACGGAAGAACAGCTGTCACAGCCCACCTTCTGCTGATGTGCCAACTGAAAAGTTGTAGGACTTAAGGTGAAATCACGAATGGATAAACTCCACTGGGGGTACACCCCATGCTGGAAAAAGGCACAAGAGATCAAAGGCCTTTGGCCAAAGTTAAAATGTAAACCTTCCCCAAAATATACTTGAACAATGCAGGCATCTCGGTTTTTCCTTTCTTCATCTTTCTTGCACGAGGCAACATTGCCTCTTGTGCCAGAGCTGCCCATTATCATCATCATCATCATCCCTGAGAAGAAGCCAAAGTCAGGAGAAAGGTGGCTTTCAAAAAGCAGAAGTCATCCCAGTTGCCCAGGGAAGGGAGCAAAACACTACTTCCCCAACACTGGGGATATGCTATTTCCCCCTCTTAAGTAAGGGGTTACAGCATTTTTCTTTGGCATATGAAACACGAGAAACATTCTGTGCAGGTTCCAATGCCCAGATGTTGGGCAACTTTATTGTTCCCAGTTCAACTAAATCCAGGAAGTGGGTTTCTACCCTCTTGGTCCAATCTCATCAGAAGAGGCGAGATGCTCTCGGACTCCGCGCTTTCCTTAGGGCCCAACTCAGAGACTTGCTCATCTGTTGGGTGGTGAACTTCATGTCTCTGGCTGCTTCCACAGCACGGCTTAAAGGCCAGCTCAAGTCCTCCAAACTGGTACAGCTGAAGGTCCTGGGGCAGCACTGAGGATCTCGGGGATGCTGCCGCGATGCTTCCCACTGCGTGGCCTGCTGCCTGCCAAAATCGTAACCAGGAAGAGCTATGGAGGAGCAGATTGAGGTAGTGCCGAGTGGAGGAGAATAGCTGTCCAGAAGGAGAAAGAAATTGGGAAGTCAAACAGCAATCACAGCAGATGACTGCACCTAGCTAACCTTGGCTGATCTTCAAAGTGTTAAGCAGAGATGGGCCTGGCTGGATGAGAGGTCAGCATGAAACCTGGGGCAACACATCTTCCAGAGCCCGTTGCCTCCCATTGGGAAGAGCCATACTTACATTACAGAAGAGAGAGGGTACGGTGCCAAGGGAATAGCAGGGATGTAATTGACAGAGGTAGCTGCAGATGGCACCGCCAAGTACCAGAGGCCTGTCTGTTTTGGTTGCTGGTTAACTTTTGGTTGTGTTGTAGGGCGTTCGTCTGGAGCATTCTCTTTGCGATCTCCCGCCCCTAAGAGGAACAAGGAAAGAAATTTTTATCAACACCAATTAAAAAAAATCTCATTTAAATATTCTTGGGGGGGGAGGAAATCTCAGGCACCATGCAGTATGGAAGACCCATCTTGAATTTGCCCTCAGCGCTTCTACTGAAGGCAATGGGGTATTTTCCCATTCCCTCAGAAGATGCGCACCGCTCCCCACCCCCATACGTGAAGGCAAAAAGTCACACAACACAGGCACCCAAAAAGTCACAAGCAAAAGGGCCTTCTGCCTGGCAAAATTCCCAGCCAAAGTGCATCGGTGGCATCAAACGGTTGGGAATGAAATACTTGGACCTGGAAGCGTAAAGAGAGTTTCTTTGGACGCCAAAACAAGATGAACACAACTGAATATGGAGAAGAAGATGAGAAGAAAAATAACCCCACCCTGGTGAAAACAGAAGCAGTGTTTGAAGGAGGAGGGGAGCTATATGTATGAGGATTTTGGTTTCAGAGGAACTTCCAAACACTTCAGACATGGGCTAGCCCCATCTTCTTCCCTTAAAGACTTGTCGTACCGGCTGTGTCTTTGCTTCTGGAGTTTGCAGAATCCTTACATGAATGACATAACCGTTCCTCAGCTGCGCTTTGCTTAGGAGGTCTGGATCCATCCCTTGGGGAATGATGGCCTTAAAAAAAAACAGAACAGGAGGCAATAAAGTCTGTTGTCTTAAGCTATCATGCTAAACAGCCTGATATGGAAGTACAAGCTTTTGAAACAGGCCCCATTTCTGATGCTTCTGCTAGAAACAGAATAAGCAAAGGGGTTCTTTGTAGAAGGCATACCTCATAAAGTTTTGCAAGCTTTCTTTTATTTGCAGGCGCTCCGGCAGAGAATCTGCTGAGACTTGTTTAGGTTGATGGAGGAAAGAATGCTTTTAAAGGTAAAAACCGAGGAGAGGGCCTGAGTTTTAAACGGGAATTCAGCGATACATCAGGGGCCGGTTAATGTACAACCAGGGGTTCCAATCATTTTCCATCCTTGCCTGTGCTAAACTCTGATTATCGCAAAAAGGGGGGGGGGCAGGCCGCAGAACTGGTCGAAACTTGATTCGTCCCCTGCAAAAACGTTTCCACGTTTCTGTGGAATTGCCAAGTTGAGCATATGCTCCCTGAACTCTGCCCATAAATTGTTCTGAACAGGGGAGATCTCCCCATGTTTCGGAGCACATCTCTTTGCGTGTCTGAAAATGTATGATGAAACTAAGCCAAGCACTTAATACATCAGGAATCCTTGATGGGTCTGGATCATCCTGGAGGACTACTCTCTCCAGCCCTGGTGCTCTCTAGGTAGATTGGATTACAGAACCCATCAGCTGCACTCATAGTCCTGCCTAATTGGACTTTTGCTTGGCCTAGAGAAAACCCGTGCTTCAGCTACCTAATCGGGAGAAATGCCGAACAGTCCCGTTCAAGTTGATGTGTGTCTCCCTCGACCACGTTGGCTGCCAAGCTGAAAACATTCATCTGGTTTCTCTCCAACATTTGATGGCTTCCAAAGAAAGGGAGAGTGGATTTTCCTGCAGCATTAGCTCACGTTGGAAAGTCCAGGGATCAAGTCTGCAAGTTCTTTGTGAGAGATGTATATTATATCTCTTTCCTCTACTACTGAGAAAAAGGGATGCTTCAGAGTTTCTAGTCACAAAGCCAAAAATCAGTGGACTTCTTGGACATCATCACAAAGTGACAACCTGCATGAATATTACCTTTGGTTTCTGTGTCATCCGCGTGACTTGCAGCGGCTTCTCCATGCTGCATTTTGACATTTCGGCAACGGAGACAGAGAGCAGAGACTTGGAGGGTCTTTGGCTCTTGAGACTCAGGAGTTGAAGTGGGATACCATGTCCCTAGGAAACCAAATGCAAAGGATCCAGCAGGTGCTGATTAATTTATAACTTGCATGTTCATCTAGATGCAGTGGGTCATCCAGCAAAATTGCCACTATGGTAGAGGGAAGGAATTTGGATCATGCTGCGTCAGGGTCAGTTCCTGGATGTATCTACGGACTTGTGCGTTTTATATACCCAATTAGGTGGTGGCCCTTATCTTGCCCTTGGGGGACCTCAAAAAGTAGCCAAGTCATGTTCCATCTGCTTAGCACTTTAATAGAAAATTGCCTGGGGTATATAGGTCAGAGTGAGAATGTTTTTAAGAAAACATCTTGCAGAAAGGCAATGGCAAAACACTTCCCTCTTGTTGCCAAGAAAACTTTGTGGATGTGTGTGTGTGTGTGTGGTATCACCAAGAGTTACATTTGATTGAAAAGAGGCTTAACTTTATTCACAATTTTTTTTTCTTGTTATCCTGGCTGTTCACCAACTGTCTGCCTGATTCTGTGAACTGTAGTGGGTGAGGTTCTGAGAATTTTCTTGCAATTGGACCTCCCCTAAAAATCATTTCCCAAAGTTGCCAGGAACAGGAGGAACATCCCTCCTACAGGACACACTCATGAAAACAAGGAAAAAAATGCATTTCTCAAGATGTCTGAGCTGCAATGTTCCCCTGTTCTGGATTAGTCACAGGGAGCCCAGCAGGAGAAGGCAGTCTAGAAAGGAAAGATGACATCTATAATTGGGTAAAGGCAGTTTTATTTCCCTCCCCCCAGCTCCAAAATGCAAACTTTTAAGAGAATAATAGAAGGAATTTTGCTCACTTTCATGGGTGATCTAACTTCCCAACAGTCTATGTTGGTTTACACAACGACAGTTTAGAAGATTTTCTTACCTGTGTAAGAGCCCCGGACAGTAGACTGTTTTGAGGGTTTTGGCTTGGAAGCTGCATGGTGTCTTCTGTTCCGCGATTTTGATGGTGCATCATCTGACCCTGAAGGATCTGGGAACAAAGCAGGAAAAGACATGGCCAATTCTCAGATTAATTTGGGCTGTAGAGTCCTACATTGTTTTAGTGGTTCAAAGACCATTGGGGAGCATTAGCTGTATTGCACAAGGGCATACAATTCCAGATTCAAGGAAAACAAATGTTGCCAGCTTCACCAATTAGCTTGGTCTAATCAAAATATTAAAAACAGACAGCAGCTCCTGTTCAGAGAGAGTTCTCTTTGCCTGAAATATAGCTTTCCACCTAACTAAATTAACCTTAAGGTCCCCCAGCTGCTTTGGCCAATGTCTTCCTATTGGCCATATTGACAGCCACCACTGTCAACTGCAATCCAGATTCTGCAAGGCACCAGGTTTCTAATTCTAGACTACAGCATTTAAAACGTTTGCCACCTACTGAAATCCAGCTGGGATCTGTCCTCAGCCAAAGATGGTTTCTGTGTCCTCCCTTTTGGTTCTGTGGCCAGAAATGATTGGTCAGGTTCCACCATGCTTTTCCCTGAGGTTCTGTGGGATGAGAAAGCAAGTTATACCCAAGGCACAACCACACCGAAGCACCGAACAAAATTCTTCCCTCTGCCCATTAATTTCCCCCCGTAATGCCCCATCTGCACTCCTACAAATCTGACTGGATTGATTCATTCTACCGAATGTGATTTGTTCATTTTTAGGTTTGTGCTAACAGAGGCACTGTGGATTATAAACAAGCATGCAGAGCTCAGCATCACGTGCAAAGTAAGTTGCTAGGGTTTGTCCAACTACCTTTGCTTAGTTTAATGTGGAAACCCAACCCCTGTGCATGTGTGTCTTCCAGGTGGAAGTAGCTGGGTGCCAAGAGTAGACAATAGATGCCAACCACAGATGGTTTAGCTACCAACTGTAAAATGTAGCATGTTGAAGCTATGGGAAACCAACATCTGGTAAATTATGTGATGGTGTCAGAGAGGGAAAGTAATAGGAATCTCATCCTGGCCTTGCTCTGTCTTTTTGAACCCAGCCAGCACAACAGAGCTGTGGTTCGCCGTTTGGGATGTTTCCCATAATGTCTTTCATAATGGATGAGTCAGCTGCATTGTGAGAAACTAGACTGCATCCAAGCAGATGCAGTTATATTCCCAGCTAGAGATCATTTGGATTTTTGTAGTCCTAGGTAAGCCCACCAGGGACTGGCCAGAAACACTGAGACCTACCACAGGAGGGTTTGCCTAGGACTTCTTCCACATGAAACAACTTCGTCCATCCCTTACCCTGCTGGAGTGACACTTGGAGAAAGGCGAGCACTGGCCTGGACTCTAGATAGGTGGGGAGAAGAGGAGTGTCGATGGAGCGTCTCTTCTAGACTTTGCCGCAACTGGGAGACTTCGTGCTGCAAAGCTGCAATGGCTTGGCTGGTAGAGGAGTAAGAATAAAACAAACCCAGGATCTGTGAGAATCAGGTTGACTATGGCAACTGCTACTAGGGTAGAGAATACTAGTGTGTGTCCAAATAATCCCAATTCTACCCCAAGGCAATAAAAGGGGAAAGGAGTTTTATACTTTTCTCTCCCTCTTCCCATGCTAGAGGGATTGGGGCAGATTTTCAGGTAAGAACCATTCTGACTAAATCTCAGGCAGTTGTACTTGGGAAGATCAGCAATGACATCTTTTCCCAGCACAAGGAGCCTTTACTTTAAAAAGTTGGCAACAGAACTCCCCCATAATCAGAAGATAATTATGGATTTATGGAAGCTGTCCTTATGTAAATACCCCCTCTAGACAGATGGGGGACAGTGAAAACTTGTGGGGAGTTGAAGGGCAAGGATCCTACTTCAACAGCCACCTCACCACCACCCAAACAGTCTATATAATGTTGTCTTCTCCTGAACTCCATGTCTGAGAGGCATACTCACTCTCGTTCCAAGCGGGAATCAAGAAAGTTGTGGTGAGTCTGGGCCAGGTTCAGAGAAGTTGGGCAGGAACTGGGGGCATTTCTCCCATGGGGAGTTTCTGTCTCAGAGTCAGTGGGAGCTGGGAATTGAGAGAGAGAACAATATGCCATGAATTTTCCTTAAGGATCAAGTTGTAGCAAGTCTTAAAATTAAATACACCAAGGTCTACTTTCCTTAAATATGGTACAGAGACCACTGACTGAGTACTGGGGGATGGGTCAATGCTTAAAATTGCAGGGCGGGGGGGGAGAAGAATCTCATTTGAGCCCTGATGCTGCATTCTCTCCATCTTTTGTGTCCCCTTCTCCCTGACAAAACCTGCAACCTACGAAAGGGGAGACCACAGGGAAATTAAGGTTCTGGGGGAGGTAATGCACAATTCTTTCACTTGCACATCCTGGGACTTCACTCCTGTGGGCTTTTGCTAGAAGCAGGGATCAGTGATGGCCCTCATCCTTAGACTTCAGCCCCAATAGCTGGGACTTGTGAACCAGGATCCAAGTCAGCTAAAGAAACCATGCCTACAGATGACAGCTTGTTGCAGAAAAATAAGGTACCAGCCTCCAAAATGACTCAGGCACAGCTTTTCAAGCAAGTAGATCAACTCTGGGTAGCTGGAACAGTGGAGGTGGTGTCCATCCACATCTGGAATTCAACTCACAGTTCTCATTGCTGTCTGGCTCCATCTCATTTGTCCACCTGCAGGGAGAGTTCTGCTGGAAGGGGTTTCTTTTAGCTGAGGTGTGTTGGCTTCTCTCACCCTGGGGCCTTACTTGCCCCAGTGATTTGTCTGGTCTCAACCACGTCATTGCAGCTGGTACTTTGTTTGAGGATGGTGAGCAGGGAGGTGAATCAAGTATAGGTGATGGTCTCTGGATGCTATGGGACCTGCAGCCAAAACACCAGGTATGTTGCATTGATAAGTGCATTACACTCATTTCTATTCAGCTGCATCTGCTTCCTTCCCAAACTACTGTCCACCTGAACTCACCTCAAGAAAGGAAAGGGTAACACAGTCAGGTGTGCGTACAAAGAACTCATGGTGCTGAGACACCAACTGATTATTTTATCCCACTTTTAACTCCACTCATTGCCTGCCAGGCAGGACCCACTATGAAATGGGCAACTTACAGTACTTCTGTATGAAGGTTCTCCAGCCCTACCCTGCTTTTCTATTTCAAACCAATCTCCTATGGGATTGGTGTTTCTCAGTTGTTCTGCATTGTTTTGGGAAGAGCCTACCCCAAATCTGAGGCTCACTGTTCACAATGCATCTTCTCCCCCCATCCTTATTACTGTAGGCCCACCCAGTAGCTAGCTCAATCTAGTTTGTTGACTAGACATCCGTTCTCTATGAACAACACAAAACAGAGGATACAAGGGCAGAACTAAGAGTTTGGAGGAAAAGAGAAAGGGTGAAAGACACAGTGACAGAAAAGTTAAAACAACCATACTGATGAGAAGGCTGCTGAACAGAGTATCATGAAGCTGAAGAAAAACACAGGAGAAAAGACACTTCGTAAGACACTGTACCTCCTCTTGGATGACTGGTGCTTAGCCATCTGTGCCAGAGGAGATGCCCTGCTGGTTTCTGATCCCACAAAACCACTGTCTGTCTCTGGAGAGAGAATGCGCAGATCCTGCCAGAAAGGGAAGAGAGACAGACTATAAGCTGCTGGCAAAATCTAGAAAAAGCATCTCCAGAACCCTCCCTGAAGATCTCCAAGTTCACCCATACATTTCTCTCCTTCCCTTGGACTGTTCTTCAATCCATGAATGCTTGAAGCCTGAGTAAAAGGAACATCCTTTGAGAAAAAAACTGTAGCTCCATCTTCCCTGCTACAGCTCTAACACTGATTCAACACCATCCACTGAAGTCACCTCAAATTCTTAAGTACCTCTATTACTACAAAAGCCACAGGTGGGGAAAGAGTATTCTTCTTTCCCTCCTACTCTCTCCCATTTCTGTTTTGGAAACAGAATAAGACTTCCTTAATCTCCTAACATACCAACTTCAAATACCTACACTTCTGTATTATGCCTAGTATCATCAGGAGTCACACTTACCTCACAGAATGTTGTGTTCATCTTCTGGGAAATGTTTGGAGGTGCAGATTCTGAGGCCATGCTTCCCACCACACTAGCTGTGCTGCTATGAGAGGAAAATGGTGCTTGCTGCCTTCTAGAAGACATCCTGGGACCAACAACCATAGGGCTGTTACTTTCTGGAGATTCATGAAGAGCTGCTTCTGCTTGGATGGAGGACACATGTCTGATCTGGCTTGCTGGCTGCTGGACCTTTCTCACTGGGACCTCAGGCACCACATCCTGTTGAAGTTCCCTAGAAGAGATGGAAAAAAAAAAGTTGAACTCTGCTAGTTTAGGAATAGAACTATAACCTTAAAGATGTTCTGCTATTTCTAAGAAGCTAATCAAGGTTACAGTTGACAATCTACCATGCAAGGTGAAGGAGTGCCCAAAAACTAATGGAACTTCAAAATATTACTTTACGAAACCCAGACCAATCCTCCTAGAAATTGTGTGAAGGAAACAGCCACTAGGTGGTTCCATGCACCTTAAATCCAATTCACAATTCCTCCCCTGTGAAATATTTTTCTTACCCCTTTACTTAGAACCCAGCCTATCTCTGCACTTACCTCCTGTGGGAAATCAGAACTCTGCTGAAGTGTGTAAACCACAGCAAAATCTTTGTAGCAGCCTAGATGCAGGGCCAGGTTTTGCATGCACAGGAAAAGATGCTGAAAACTTAAAAAATGGGGAGTGATTGTATCCAAACACAGTCTAGCTTCCAGCCAAATCCCATGCAAAAAGGAGAAAAGAATTTTGGTTCTCAGCTGCTGCTCCCACCTCTTAAGATCCCCCTGCTTTCACTCACTTCCTGTCAAATTCCTCTCCATTCTCCCTCCCCTTCTTCCTTCTCTCCCTCTTGCCAACACAACCCATTTAGCAGGCAGCTGAAGGGGTGGGGGAAGTAAAGCTGCTTTGCCCAACTGTGGGAAAGAAAACAAAAAAATGCAAAGACCTCTTTGTTCTCCAACTTGAGATGATACAGCTAAAAAGCCAATCCCTGCTTCTAATTTTAGTCACATCCTGTAATGCCCACAGCACCACTACTCTTGCAAAAGAATGTGGCCCAATGTGTTTAGAAGATCAGGCTAGGATTAGAACTGTTAACTTTTCAAGTCAGATGCACACATGGCAGGGCACAAGTCTAATCTTGGCTTTTGAGTACTCCTAGGGAATTAGATACCTCTACACAAAGAGTTCATCAGTCTAATTTTTCTCCCTCCCCCAAAAAAGTGGGTGTCTCCCCTCTTTCCTTCATGTATGCGTGTTTCTTCAGTTTTCCCTAGCAGCCACATGTGCATGGTTCAAACTCAGAAGTTCAACTGCCCTTGTGAATACCAGAGCAGTATGGAATCCAGAAGATAAGCTTCCCTTGGCTGTGGCAGGGTTGGAGATGGTGTCTTAGATCTTCCAAGGAAATGAACTTCTGGCTGGTGGTTTTCTCATAGACTTACTTGGAGGTGGTGGGAGTTTTCTTATTAGCTGCAGATGACTTCTGTAAGGACCCAGCCTTTGTCCCAGCAGCAGCTGTGGCTGCACTGCCCAGTTCCTCTGAGGAAGCATTGTGTTTGTGACTCAAGGCCTCTGGCAAAGATTTGAAGCTGCTGCACCTTGGAACAAAAGGTGGAAAATGAAGCTGAGACAGCACAGCTTGCCTTAGTTGGGGAGTCAAACAAGATTTCCCTACCCCACTTCTCCCATCCAATCTACTCTGAATGGGCCTCAGGGGAGGGGAAGGAATCTCCTTATTCTTCCTCCCATGGAGGTTTGATGACCTCAAGGTCAGGTGGAAAAGGACAAGAATGTGATGGTGCTGAGTCTGAGTGAGTGAATCCAGGAGTGAAAGTGGGTGAAGCTCACAGAACTCCATCATGCACTGTTATGTCTCATTGCAGCCTGCCCACCCACCCCAATGTTTTGTCTTCCAGTTTTGACTTCCTTTGCTTTGTTTCATTAATAGACAGAAACTTGAACAGCCTTACTGGTCCAGGAGGTGATCAAAGTTCTCCTCCTCTTGGTGCTTGCAAGGTTGGGGGAGCTCCAGGAAATCTCCCTCTTCTTCAGCAGTCCCATCACTGATGGAACTGAAGTCCCCCTCCAGCTGGACTTGAGCAAAGCTTCTCTTGGGGGTTGAAGCCTGATGAGCAGACAGGAAAACCTGAGTGAGTCTAAATGTAACCACTTCCCTATTTTGTTCCAGTACAAAAGCACCCTTTTAAAACATGTGTTTGTGTAGAAGTTAGAGAGCTCCTTTTATGGATTATTTTGAAATGAAATAATGTGTGTTAAGGGAGGGGGAAGCACAGAGATGCTTTCCTTCCAGGAATTATTGGCCTTCACTGCCAAGTCATAAGTATTGGCCAGGCTAGCTAAGATCACAAGCGTGTGGTCCAAACCATTTGGAGATATCTGTACTGAAAGATAACCTTCCATGTTGTCTGTAGGTAGAAGTTTTGAAGGCAGCCAGTTTTACTCAGCTGGGTATGCATAGCTAGAGCCCTGAAAATCAAGGGTATATTTTCTTGCCATTGTGAAGGAGACAACACACAAGCCTCTGCGTATTTATTAGTTCTCTCTCCCACCTTTCATCTAAGAGCTGAAGGAAGCTTATTCAGGAATCCCCTTACTGAATCTGGAGTCCCTGATGCCAATTCAACCCCTCCACTATTGCAACCACACTAAACCCATGTGTTTAGCACACTGCAGGAGCTCAGCCATGTTTCAATATGTAGTGTGAAGCAGGCCTTTGCAAGCCAGGTGTGTTTCATTTTTTCAACACAGTAGCTCATATGAACACCAGAGTTCTGTTTTCTTAACTCACTTTCAGGGTTGCGTGTGTTGGGTGAAAGTAACCAATGGGGATACATTAATCTGTTGTTTGAGCTGCATTCCTCCTAAAGGTTTGCCCATTCTTTTTTTAAAATACCCTCCTTCCCAAATAGACCAGAAAATCCAGGTTCTGCCCGCAGATGTAGCCCAATCCTTGCCCACATTGCATTGAAATCCAGTGCCGTTGCAGCCCCATCTGCCTCTTCCCCCTTCCCCCCCCCCATCAAGCATACAGTGATACCTCGGGATGCGAACGCCTCTGCTTGCGAATTTTTCGGGTTACGACCAGC